TATATATATATATATATATACATATATATATAATTATAAATTCTGTAAACATAAAATTGTAAAAATTTAGATAAATAAAATATAATTCGATATATAAAAAATTAAATATATTTATTAATAAGTTTGTTTATATATTTTATAATTAAAATGAATTTCTGCCATTTTTCTTTTTATTCATTTACTCCATTTTACAACGATTCTCAAATGTATGTTATTTTTTAAAAAATGATTAAAAAATAATTTTATGAACAAAATTCATTAATTTTCTAATTGTAAATTGTAGAAAATGATTCGTTTTATATCTTCATTTAAAATTTTTAATTTTCTTATTTAATTTTCTATAAATTAATAGGAATTAATCTTTTAAGAACATATTTAAAAAAACTTTATCTTATTTTTTTTTTAGATTAGAATAATGCGTTATATGTGTTACATATGATTTTTTAAATATTAAACTGATACTACTTACATGAGCCACCCTGTATACACATTGTGCATGAACTCTGAATCAAATTCTATTCTTTGTTTTAATCATAGTTTAGGATTTTTCGAAAAACTTATATTACTTTATAAATGTTTGATTATGAGAGAAAACGATCACACAAAGGCATTCTCCTTGAAATTACGAGACATAATAGAACAGTGAGATCAACGACAACGCGATAGTTTGTGGTTATCCTGACACTCGGCTATATGAATATTTCTATGTGAAAGTTTAGTTGCAATAACATTGATATATATAAAATTTATAACAGAAAATCAACTTACCATGCACTAGAGTACTGCTACCACCTCGCAATTTCAATACTTGTCAGAAACATGACCGGTGCCCAAACAAAGAATTCACGTGGAACGAACGCATACACACACCGACAATCTGTCAAACGAAGACGTTGGAAATTCACAAGATAGCAGGAAATACCTCACTACGTTAGTAAAGCATTTATCCGAAATATCATCACACCATGAGAAGAATTTTTTAACCAAAAAACAAACAATATCCACACGTTCACTCTTTTGTTTTGCTACTTAAACAACGAAAATCCCCAATCTGAGTTCGACGTCCTGCTGGCATTAACGTATTAACTGGCCAACAGAGAATACCTGTTGACTCATTTTAAAAAAACAAAATGGCGGATTTGAAGGCTACGTTATATGTTGTTTTGTTTTAGTTGTACATTTATTTAATTTTTATCAATTCGTGCTGTAAACTTTCCAAAAAGTGCACAAATATTTTGATTAATATGATATTTGCAAAAAAAAAGTATTAATAAAAAAATATGCTGAATTGTGAAATTACATTAATGTAACCTAAAATAAAATATTAATATATTAGCATGAAATTAGATGTTGTAGTTTAATTTTGTAATATATAAATATAATTTTTGTAATATTACTATAAGTTATTGTTTTTTGTATTATAAATATTAAATAAACGCAAAATAGATTGTGTAAAAAAAAAAATGGCGACTACGCGCGAAATTACAGACATGCGCACTGACGTTAATATTCCAATCAGTTTGACAACAGTCAAGAAGTTCTTCTAGATGAATTTAACCTCCTACGTATTTTATTGAAAAATTCTTATTTTAAGTGAAATTGTTCCTTATTTTTTATTGAATCGATATTACACATCAAAAATGGCAGCACCAGAGGCGATACAAGTCAGTTCTCTTCCTCTACCTCCAGTTCAGTATATTAATTTGTATACAGATGAAAATGTTCGTCGAGGCAGAACACCAAGGCCACCACCGCCAATACACGATACTTATTCGATGTTTGGAAATGTATTTAACGCTGATGATACAATTATTAGACCTCTCGAAGCTCAAGGAATTAAAAGGTTATATCCTCAACATTTCGATCGACGACGAGAGTTGAAAAAATTGAACCATTCATTGCTTGTTAATTTTTTGGATCTAATAGATTTGCTCGTACAGTGTCCTGACAGTCCAAGACGTGCAGAAAAAGTATTGTAACATATTATAATACATTTTGATAAAAACAAGTAGTCAATGTTCGTATTGTTGTTTACAGGTGGAAGATCTTAGTTTATTATTTATTCATATTCATCACTTATTAAATGAATTCAGACCACATCAAGCTAGAGAAACATTAAGAGTAATGATGGAATTGCAACGTAGACAGCGTATAGAAACAGCACTTAGATTTCAGAAACATTTAGAAAAAGTATGATTTTTAATTAATATTAACATAATATGCATTTCAAATTATAATAATTTTTTTATAGGTCCAAGAAATTTTACAACACGCATTACAGATGTTACCAGACACTTCAGAATTGGATTCTAAATTAGCAATAAATACAGATGCTATGGAATCTGTTGATAATTTAGGTTCTGAACAGCAAACTCCAGATCCATGTAATCCATGTGACCGTATTATGTGCAAAACAATAGATGATATGATCTCAACGAATGGATTATATTAAAATTTCTTTTTTAAGGACATATTGTAAAAATTATTGTAATTATAATTGTAAGATATATTGTAATAATAATTCTAGAAGTGTAGTATATTTATTAAACAACAGGTACAAATCTTCTGTACAATTTATCTGTTTCTATTACATATATTAAAAAGACATAATATAATTTAAATCAATAGTTTTTATTCTTCTAATAATATTGCAATAAATTTACTAAAGTAATGTTTACATATTTGAAATCATAATAAACAAAAATAATATTTTTAAAATGTTACAATATATTAATACATACAAGTAAATTTTTATATAATTATGTAATTGACAAATTACAAAACATTTGTATTAAATATTAATTAAAACATATAAATATTCGATAATTGTAAATTTTTCACAAATAGTTTAATTAACTGTGTAATAACACTCGATATTGGGCATAAAAAATACAACATATATTATGCAATATTATTATTTATTAAATTAAATGATAATATATTCATGAATTATTATTATATTATTATTAGCATTACACAATTTTTATTCAATGGTGGATAGGAAAAGGACACAATATGTTTTTAAACTCACCTTACAAAACAGCTACCATGAATATACAAATAAAAGATAATATACAACCATGCCTCAATTCCTGAAAAGAATAAAGTTATAATCTTTCCTTATAAATTTCCTCCTTGATCTGGTAATCTGTAATCAAAAAATGATTATTTTTGCTCTGCTTTGCTATCCATTCAACAAGAATCACATACAGCATCTGCAAAATAAAAAGTATGCAATAAAAATTATATCTTTATTTCTATATAATCAAAGAAACTTTTTGAATTATATTATATTTTTCATTTATATTTAATAAAAGATTTTAATAATTTTATATTGCTTTTATATATATATACTTAAATCAATTATTTTAATAAAAAAAATTATTTATTTATTTAATTGAGAAAAAAGCTAAATATTTTATAACTATATAGAAATAATAAATAAAAAATATGTATAATTGTAAATATAACTAATATAATTTAAGAAATTAAAAACAAAAGCTCTCTTTAAGTTTCTTTGATTTTATTATATTTCCAAAAGATGTTCCATTTGGCATTTCTTCAATTACTCCCAATCGTTGTTTTCCTGTTGACAAAAGAAATAAAAAATGTTATCTAGAAAGAGGAATAGGAAGAACTAGGAAATACAGGAATACATTTTGATACTATTTTAACATCTAGAGTTGTTGTGGAAGAAAGAAATTGTCTGTCTTTTGCAAATACGTGTAACACCAATGTCCATGTCATAGCACAAACCGGTCATTTTGTACAGTATGAATTTTTAAACATTCTCTATATGAAATTTTTGGTTCTGATATTTGATAATTCTTCATTTCAAATGATTCACATACTGTGTCCTTGCACCATTTTCTCGTCATTATTTTATTTGTTGTATTGCCTGTTAAAGTACCTGATTAATAGTTTCATAATAAACACTTCTTGAAGTTCATGATGTCATCTTGCTCACTTCTTCCCACGTACTTATTCACTTTTTCCAAACTCAAGTTTCTCCAAATTGTATTTTTCATTTCTTTAACAATAAAAAAATTGTCATAACACAATTAGTATATTATTTTCACACCAATCTTCTCTTCTTTAAATGTCAATATTTCATTATGACAATTGTCAGTGATTATCACTGTGTTTAGTGAATTATTGATCCTTATAATTTTGTGTTTGAAACTTGTATGTATGGTGTGTACTTAAAGCTTTCACAAGAAAACACTTTCTTTACACTAAGATTTATAGAACAAAAAAGTTGTATTTCCTTTGTCACTTTTTTTAAAAAGCACTTTCTGTAAATAATCACTTTTACATTCTTCATTTTTATATGTACATTTTACAGGCCTGATATAGTTTTTATATTATTGCAGCTTTTACCATTTCATGCTTTTTAAAAATTTAAACAATCAGAGAGTTAATAAAAATTTTTTCTCCACGTTCCACGACCTCGCGGTCTATAACCACCTCGACCACCTGACCTATTTCCTCTAAATCTACCTCGACCTATAATAAATATAATGAAAGAAAATTCTTTTTCTATTTATAATCTTAACTAATATTTTGGAAAATAATAATGTTTCTTTTTGTTAAATTACCATAATTTGATGATATGTTTGAACTGTATTTTCCACTAGGAGGAGTATATAATTCCCTTTTACTTTTATCCTCTTTACTTCGTTTATTAGAATTGCTGTCATTTCCAAATGTAATTGGTGTATGTCTCTTTTGAGCAGATGAATGCTTTTCATTCTAGAATAATGAATAATAAAAAAATTAAGATATTTAATAAAATATATTTTTAAAGAAAAATTAAAACTAATTTAATATATACCTTCTTGTCATTAGCTGTTGTTTTCCATGAAAGATGTATAACACTTTTAAAACTGGGTGGTGAGTGAAACAGATCTTTGATTAAAGTGTTAATATTATTCGTTGTTTTCAAAGCAACAACTTTTAATTGATTCTCCTCTGACTTCAATTCTTCTTCTGATTTTCCACTAATTGCCTCTCGTAATTTTTTTATGTAACCTTGAATACCACGTGCAAAATACTGTAATCTTAATCTAAATTCCTTAAGCTGTTCTGGATCTTTCATTAAAAATTCTGGTGTTTGCTTGCATAATTTATGAAAAGCATACATGAGACATTCAACATGACTAAACTGTAATTGTGGTACTTCAGTTATTTCTGTGACTGGAGGTAGTGGCATATATGTCTAAGAAATTAAAATATCATTAATATTCTCTAAATAAAATATACATTTTCAATAATATTATTACTTACAATAAGAGTATTATAAAGTTGTTGTACTTTTTCTTCTGGCTTATCAATTGTGCCACAAAATACAGCTAATTCAGCAAGAAGTTTTAATAACTCCAATTGTACATCTCTTCCATCAGGTGAAGTAATTAAAGAAAGATGTGGTAAAACTTGTATACAAATATAAGAAACAAAACGTGATGAATCTATTTGAGACTAAAAAATAAATACATTACTGTAATAATAAATACATTTCGTAAATAAATACAAAATGACTTTTAAAAATTTGATTAAATTATATTTACACTAAAGAATGGAAGTGCATGTTTAATACATTGTACAAGTCTATTCCACTGTTCAACATTAGTATGTTTGAATGGTTCAGACAATTCAGCTTGTTCAACTGTAATATCTACTAATTCTTGCTGTCCACTAATTGTTGTACCTAATCTGGTCCATGCAAGAACTTCCATAATACTGTGAAATTCATCAGCAGTAACATCCTAAATATGGAAGTATATTTATAAAAATCATATAATTAAAAAATTATATAATTATAGTTATAAAAAAAATCATACTTGTAACACTTTTTTGCATTCTGAAATTAAAAGATCTTCTGGCTCTTTAGTAATAATATCATGACCTATTGCTTTTAATTTTGTTGCTAAGAATTTAATGCAACGCTCACGTGTTCCATCATCACCATTAATAATCTGACTAAAAAATCCACTTATTGTACCTAAGAAAAAATAATGAAATGTAGTTAACATTTTATAAGTTTATAATAAATGATTATATATTAATAATACCTCTTGGATCAGTTTTCATAAGAGACATAACACTATTATGAACTACAGCTAATTCAGATGGATCTTCAGCTTGAAGTAATTGAGCTAAAATATCTGCAATTCTAGCTGTATGTTCCTTGTTATCTTTACATAACGCAGGTAAATCTTTAATTGCTTGTTTTCTGATCTAAAAATAAATTATCAAATTTTATGTTTTTTACATATACATTATGCATATATTAATAATATAAATAATAAAAAAAATATACAGCCATATCCTCATCTTCACAAAGATCTAAATGGGCATCTATAGCCTGATCAGCCAATTTTGGGAAATATTTAAAAAACCTTGCAATGAATTGTGATGCTAATCGTTTTTCTTTAGGTGATCCTTTCACTGCTGTTAGAATCTCTAAATATTCTTTCTCATGCTGTAATGTTCAAATAAAAATTTAATAATATTCACTATTTCTTTTGATTAATTATTTATGTACAATTGAATCACTTCCATAATAAAAATACCATTCAATCAATTTGAAATTAATAAAATTATTTATAAATATAAAAAATATAAGAAAGAAAATATATATTTTATGCTTATAAATACAAAAAATTATAAAAGATAGAAATGAGTAAATGTGGTTATTCAATATAACCAAGTTTGTAGACTACCTCGGCTAATTTATCTTTGGCATCAGCCAAAATGCCAAAATTTTTGTATAATTTTTCGATACTGTCCATACTCATGATAAAATTATTATCGAATTTCCACATCTAAAGACACAAAACATATAAATACGATTTTACACTCAAAAATAGGTAATCTAGCCGGCCATGCACCACGCCAAGAAACGACAAAGATGGCAGCCGTTCCATATACATATATATATAACCAAAGTATGAAAGGATGGGCATTCATGGTGGCGTTCAAGTCGAAAATTACATATGTATGCGATAAATATTATCAAAATTACTACGTTGATTAAATATTTATATAAAATTTCTTGGAAGTTTTTTCATTTTCTCAGAACATTTCCTTGAAAAAAATTTCTTGAAAAAAATTCTTGAAAGTTTTTTCATTTTCTGAAACTGAGAATGTAACAATATATTATTATGAAATTTAAAAAAAATTTCATGATATCATATTTTATGCTACAACCTAAAATACAATCAATTTACTAAAATAAAGACAATATAATTAATCTTAAATTATTAATAAAATAAAATTAAAATAGATAATTAAAGCACATATATTTTAAATCATATAAAAATTTATTATTTTCTAAGAACATTTTGTATGTATATATATATATATATATGTATATATTTATATAGATATTATAACAAAAATATTTATAAAATATTATATCAAAATTTACAATTTTTCCGTGAGTTCAGGAACAGCCTTAAATAAGTCAGCAACTAAGCCATAATCAGCTACTTGAAAGATAGGTGCTTCTGGATCTTTGTTAATTGCAACAATTGTCTTTGAGTCTTTCATACCAGCAAGATGCTGAATTGCTCCAGAAATTCCAACAGCAATGTATAAGTTCTATATAATATAAATTAAAATATAAATAATTTTTTAATAATAATAATTACATGTAATTAGAAATCAAACTTACTGGAGCAACAATTTTTCCAGTTTGTCCTACTTGTAAATCATTAGGTACAAAACCAGCATCAACAGCAGCACGAGATGCACCAACTGCAGCATTAAGTTTATCTGCTAACGTATATAATAATTTGAAGTTCTCACCAGACTTCATTCCTCTTCCTCCAGATATAACAACCTTTGCAGATGTTAATTCTGGTCTATCAGATTTAGATAAGTCTTGTTTAATAAATTCTATCAATTGTGATTTATAATCACCAACTGGTGCAACTTCACACTTAGCATTACCTCCTTCTAAAGGTGTAGCTTCAAATGAAGTACCCCTTATTGTAACTATTTTTACATTGTCTTTGCATTTTAAAGTTTGAATTGCATTCCCTGCATAAATAGTACGGATAAATGTATCAGTTGATTTAATATCAATAATATCACTTACTGGAGACACATCTAATTTAGCTGCAATCTTAAAAAATAAAATTTATATATGAATTACAAAAAAAATATTTCATAATTGCATATAAAAGTAAAAAAATAGATCTTTTAATTTGATACTTACTCTTGGTAATAATGCTTTACCAAAAGCAGTAGCACCAGTTAAAATATGAGTAAATTTATATTCATTTTGAATTGCAAGAATCAGAGGAGTTAATGCCTCTGGAAAAAATCCTTTAAAAGCATCACTATCTGCGACCAAAACTTTGGATACACCATTAGCTTTACTAACACTTTGTGCAACTGTATCACATTTGTTACCAGCAACTAAGACTGTTATATCTCCACCAATCTTTTTTGCTGCACTTAGAGTATTACAAGTAATAGGTAATAGTGATTCATTATTATGTTCTGCAATAACTAATGTAGATTCATAGCGTGCCAGTAAGCCATGCTAAAATATTAAATAATTTGATTAAATATTTTGTTTCCTTTGAACAAACAGTTTAAAATTTCATTTTAATTTATATTATTTTTATTATTAATGATTAAGATATATAATTTTATATAAAATTAATATTTTTTTAATTAATGATTACATTTATTAAAAAAAAAATTTTATAATAAAAAAACATTGAAATATTATAGATAATAGAAGTTTATATTTTGTTGATAAAAAAAGAATTGTATATATTAATCAATTAAGAATTATAGGTTAAAACAAATAAGAATCAAGAAAATTGAATCTCTTGATACTCACTTTATTTGCAATTCGAAATGTTCTAAACCAAGTAGCGAACATTTTTTTTATAATTTTTAAAGTTTCAGTTTGATATTTAATTAAACAATAATTAAGGAAATACTTATTCAAGTTAATTTTATATCTAATAATTAAATCGTATATTAAAGTCCAAAGTTCAAACAAAAAATAATGAAAAAAATAAAAATATTATCTCTAAATCGTAATAATTTTCTATCATATAAATCGTAATAATAAAATCCAAAGTTCAACCAATCAAATAATCAAAAAATAAAAAAAATATTTCCTATTTCTTTTAACATTTTTTAATGTAAATAAAATAAATAATGATTAAAAATATATATATAAATAATATAGTATTTGTTTACACATAATGTTTTTTAATTTAAATATTTTAATTATTTTATTTAAATGGATTTAATTTCATTTATTAAAATTAAAATTTCTATGATGTATTTTAGTATATTTTATAAATGTACATATTATGATAATATAAAGATATATATTTTAAGTCAATTTAAAATAATATTAATTTTGAAACTAAAATATTTTTTTTTATATTATTATTAAATGGTCGTTAAAATTAACATTAATAATTCTAGATATTTTTAATTATTTTAAATTTTAAAACTGTTAAATTATATTATTAACATTAACATTTAACATTATTAAAATTAATATTATATTTATATATTTATGATAATATTTAAAATGTTTATCTAATATATATTTTTATATAAAAATCCTATGTTTAATATTTATTACTAAATATTTAGTAGTTTTGGTAACTTTCGTATAGTGAATTTTTAATATTGGAAATCCTGTTTAATGTAATACGCAGTCAACTTGGCCATTTCATCAGTGTTATCCGAGCAAAATGGTAAGATTAAAATAAAGTTACTTAATCTAATAATTATTTTGACATCCTATAAAATATATCTATATAATTATTAGAATATTACATTTAAAATATTTAAGAAATATATGAATTTTGTTATTTATTTTAGTCGGCTCACAAAACATTTATTATCAAACGAAAACTTGCTAAGAAATTAAAACAAAACAGACCGATTCCTCAATGGGTTAGAATGCGTACTGGCAATACTATTAGGTAAACATTATTAAAATATTTGTATTTTCATTTAATCTATTATTTATTATTGTTATTGTTTTATATATTATTGTATAATTTTATAGGTATAATGCTAAACGGCGTCATTGGAGAAGAACCAAGTTGAAGCTGTAAAATAAATTAATGTATTTGCTTCACATTTATTATAATATATTAATTATTCATTTTTAAATAAATTCTAACCGTAACATTAAATTTACATCTTATATTTATAAAAATTTATTTCTTAATTATAACAAATTTTATATCAATCAATTAATAACTTCAGAAAAAAGACGAATCATTTATTTACATATATTTATATACATATTATAAGGAATTATATATTTTGCGGCGATGCATTTGTTCCATCCATTCTTTCAATAATTCTTCACCACTTTTAGGTGCTGGTAAGTAATAATGTTTTGGTGGTTTTCCTTCTTCTAAACGTACAAAGTAATGAGTATGTCTATAATGTACTATTCCAGCTCTTGCTCTAGCATGACGTCGCATTCCTTTTATTACAGCACCTTTTGTTGCAAAAGATTCAGCTAAAAAATTAATTGAAATAATATAATATTGCTAATATATTTGAATATATTTTATAATTAATATATTAATATCAATATTAATATACTGACCAACCCATAAATTACTTTTGAATTCAATATCATGTTCTTCCACAGCTATATTTTGTGCCTCTAAGATCACTTCTTTGGCTATAGCTGCACCTTTTTTCTTTAAAAAACTCAATTGTTTAACAGCTTCATCTACAGACATACCTCTTACAAAAGAAGCAATATACCACATTTTCAATGGACTATATTTTATGTTTTTTCTTACATGACAAACATACTATAAAATATAAATATAGAAAATACTTATGTTTCAATTGATAAGATAAAATTCTTTAATTATTAATTAAAATTATATTTACACCTGGTCTTCTTTCTTCATTTGGTTTTTGTGGAGGAAAAACAACATTATTATATTTAAGGAAACTTGTTGTGTCATCATCGTCATCGGATTTAAAATAATAATATGATCTTTGTATACTAGATAAATAATTCGAATTAGTTGTTTTAAATAATCTATCTGATATAAATCGTACACACTGTTTTATATTCTGCATTTTCTATAAAGATGAAAAAATATGCATAAAAATTATGAATTAATTTATTAAAATTATTTTCTTTTATAAATATTATATGTATTTATAAAAAAATAATTAATGTAATTTATTTTTAATATAAATATTTGTAAAATAGTAAAAAATAGTAAAAGATAACCTTTTAAAATCAAAATGCATATTTATAAACAAATGCTAGTTAAATATCAATTAAAAATATTATACTTACATTTATTTTTTATAATATATAAATATTTAAAAACTATATAATCAAAAATTTCTAATTAATATTTTATTGTAATATTTTATTATAATAATAAAATATTTTCAAATATTGTCTTTAAAACATATCTATTCAAAAAACACTAGATATTATTGACAGAAATATTTTAACCTGACATACAAAATTAGAGTTTATTTATTTTATGACAAATTCTTATTCTATTTATAAAAATTAGAAATTGTTAGTTCAAAATAACTAATTTTTATTAATTATATAAAAATTAAAAAATTATTTCATTTAATTAAAAAAAAGATCAATATTAAGTTTTAAAAATCGATACTGTGTGTCTTTTTATTTACTTTTTTTTATAATTCATTTTCTGTTATTATTAATAAAATTGTTTTTTTTATAAATAAATTTCATTCGAGTAGACATTTTGATTGGTTGATTAGAGTCAAATTGTCAGATATGTCAGCAGAAATAATAATCAGTATATTATAAGCAGCACCTACCTATCGTCACTTACACGTAGTCGAATGCTCTACTTTGTATCGTGTTCATGACGCAACTTATTAAATTGCTATGGCGGAGAATTAGTGTGTGATTAAATCTATTTATTATTTTGCTCCGTCATTGCGTTAGTATAAAGTTTAATTCGGTCTTTAAAAAAAAAATCATGGATAGTAATAAAGATGAGGCGGAGCGATGTATGGAACTTGCAGAACTATATCTACGAGAAAAAAAGTACGAGGAAGCAGAAAAATTTGTACGTAAAGCATTAAAACTATATCCAATGAAAAAAGCAGAAGGTAAGTTGACAAAAATCTATTTCAACCAGTGTAGAATATCAATCAATTGCTTTTATTTTTTATTTTATTCATTCATAAAATTGTCATTACATTGAAAGGAATCTACCGTACCATACCGTATTTCTAAATTTCAACAAGATTATGTTATGAAATTGTTATATTTATTATTTTTTTAGAAATTATTTTAATGTTTATTAAGTTTAAAAAGCAATTTCTATAGTCATACAAAAATGAAACTTCATTTACATTTATTATTATTATGTGAATTTATCATTATGTAAATTATTATTAAAAGAAAGTAGTATAAATAATAAAAATAAAAAATTGATGATGAAAATGAAATTTATATAATTATGTGAAATATAAAATATTTTCATATTTTATGAAATATTTTAAAATATTTAAAATAATTTATTATATATTTATAGATGTGTTAGCAAAAGTGACAATGTTATCAAAGCAAAATCAAAAGTCTGAATCTGAACCTACACTTAGGAAACGTCAAACTGCATCTAAAGAAACCACACATACTCAAGCTTCTAGTGATTATACAAAGGAACAACTTGAACACATTAAAAGGTATTTATATTAATTAAAGTTTCTGAAGTTTTAAAAACATCAATGTAAACAAAATATTTGAAATATAATAATAAAACTTATTATTTTATTCCGATTATATCATAATCTAATATTTTTCCTTATTATTAATAAACTTTAATATAATTTATTTGTTTGCAGAATCAAAAAATGTAAAGATTATTATGAAATTTTGGGTGTAAATAAAGATGCAACTGATAGTGATATTAAGAAGGCATATAAAAAATTAGCACTTCAGTTACATCCAGATAAAAATAAAGCACCAGGTGCTGCTGAAGCCTTTAAAGGTAAATGATAATTAAAATGTATTTGTAAAAAATTTATTATAACAAATTGTAATTTACATATATACAGCTATTGGAAATGCTGTTGCTATATTGACTGATGTCGAAAAGAGAAAGCAGTATGATATGTATGGTCCTGAGGAAGAAAGACTTCAAAGTGCTCAAGCTCATCAAAATCACTCACATTATAATTATACAAGAGGATTTGAAAGTAAGATTATTATATTATGTTTATTTTTTTCATAGAATTATTTTATATCATAAATTCTTATGAGTATCTAAATAATACTGATTAAATTAATTCTTTTTAGCTGATATAACAGCAGAAGAATTATTTAGTATGTTCTTTGGAGGTGGATTTCCACAACAAGAATTTTATATGAGACGTTCTGGTAGATGGGCAAGACAACAAGATGCACAAGCTCAACATGCTCACTCTCAAGTATGTAAAAAAAATATATTTATTTAGATACTTCAATTAAATATATGATTATTTTAACAAATATTATGATTTTTAGCAAGCAAATGGATATACCACATTCCTTCAAATGTTACCTGTGCTATTATTAATATTGTTAACTATGATGAGCAGTTTCTTTATATCAGATCCTGTATATAGCTTGCATTCTAACGCGTAAGTGTATTTACAAATATTTACCAACGGATAACGACGAATAAATTAGTTTTAATTAATAATTCTATGTGATGTTTCAATTCTATTACTTATACTTTATTTTCTCGGCTTTTGTCTCTGGTATATTTTATTTCAAACAAGAGTGATTGATTTGTATGAAAGGGATTATATGCACATTTTAAATTTGTGCGCAGAAAATATTCTGTACTGAGAACAACTCAAGGATTAAAGGTGCCCTACTATGTCAAAGAAAACTTTCATACTGAATATCAAGGCAGCTTACGTAGACTAGAAATTTCTGTTGAAGAAGAATACCTGAATAATTTGAGACATGCCTGTTTTAGAGAGAAAAGTTATAGTAAGTATTTTATTTAATTGATTTTTAAATGCCCCAATATAGCAGGGTACTGTTGCTCTTAGAAATAATGAAAAAAAGACTTTAATAGTCAAGAAATATATCTATCTTTTTGGATACATTGTTTCTTTAATCCCTAGGAGAAACAATGATGTGGAAAGCAAGAAACTTTGGAGATCAAGAATTATTTTTCAAAGCTAAAAATATTGAAACACCTTCATGTAAGAAGGTACAAGAATTACAAGGAGCATAGCGACGTTATGTTATTGAATAGAATTTTGTTGTAGATAGGTGTATATTATATTTACACATGTGTAGTTACTATTGGATGAAATGAAGAATATCAAACATTATAATACATATGCGAATATATTATATATCTTCGCATCAAAATTGATAAATGATATTCTTCTTGATCCATGAATTTTTACATAGGCCGTTTAAGCTGTTTGTTCCATATATTCAAATTGTAAATTAATATAGGATTCATTATAGTAGCGAGTATGATGAATTCCAATGGTATATGAATCTATCATATGATATAATTAAGGTAACATATTTCAAATTCATTAGATTGAATCATATAATTTTAAAATATAAAAATCATATGTTGATTAATTTATATGCATTGTTAATCAGGATTATTTATGTTCCATTATTACGACACGAGGAGAAATAGCTGATTGATATAGTAAGTGATTAATTTTGAAGATTTTAAAATATTTCTAATTATTTATATTCATTGAAAGAATTTGTTCATTAAAATTTTAATTCAATTCTTGCCGTATTATTTAAATAAATAGCAATTTAAATATTAAAAGTTAAATATTAAATTAAAAGTTTTTCAATGCTAGCACATAATGATTTTGACGATTTTGATAAAAATATTGTTGCAACATTAAAACTGCTTGTACACAAGAAATTTAGGAATAAAGATTTAGAAAACTCATTTAAATTATATATGAGAATAAAAAAATATAAGAGGAAATGAATGAAATTAATGCATGCATTTCTTTTAAACAAGAATAAAAAAAATTAATTTTAATATTGAAAAAGCACATTTAGTTTGTAAGGCCTAAGTTGTGAATAATATCGAAATTCATGTGAATTTTTTTTTTGCATTAAAAGATAATCTATTACACAGTATTAAATAATATAGAAAGTTAATAATGTTAAAAATTTTATGGACGCAATATTACACTGGATACATTCCTTCTGTTATGAGAAATGCACGATATATTACAAGCAACTAAAGAACATAGTAATTGTGACACATATTTACATTCGTGTATATTATTTTTTACTTGAAAAATTTATGTAATTCAAACTAAAGAAAGAAAGGCATACATATTATCATGAGAAATGAATAATAAGCAATTTTAATTGAGCTATTGTCATACACCATACACGTACCATACACGTCATCGCGTCGTAAATTTTTATATGGGCATAAAGTTGGAAAAGAAAGAAATTCCTATCAATCTGATAAGTGACCACTTATGTTTATTCTTATTTATAAATTATAATGTACATGGATAACATAAGATAGTTGACCAATATATTTATCTTGAGAAAATATTTTTTTTGTGTGATGTTGGAATTTTTTGGTACTAATTGTTATCTTTATAATAATCCCAAATTGTTGAACTTTTTGAAATCATTCGAGAATGACATTTGAAACATTTATGCGAATCAGTTTAACCAAACTGCACATATCAAATTTGTTTTATAATTTGGCCAACTCTTGTATGTTTAATAGCACTTATTTATCTAAATCATTACGTGTATGTTATATAAATATATATGTCAAAGTATTTTAATTAGCTTCAAAATAAAGGAATTTTAAAAATTAATCAATTTGAAAGTTTATCAATTTTTTAAAATTATTAATTATTAATAAATGCTAAAAGATTATACATTAATGCTTTCATTATGAAAAGATAAATCTATACCATACTTCACCTATGATGTTCAATCCATCTCATCCATACTAATGCTTTTATCAATTTATTTGTTCTTTTCTCAATTAAATTTATCAGTGATTGATAACATAAGTAAATATCTTTTATCTATATATTTCGAAAATATATTTAAAAAACATAACAATTGTCAAATCATCTTTAAACTTCACTTTGATTTCTTTTAATAAATATTTCTTTTAATAAATTTAACGTTAATGTAATTTTTACAGATTACTCCTCATTCCACGGATTCCTGCGAATTAAGAAATTTTCTATCGAGTAACAAATATTTAGAATTTTTATTGAATTCTGCAATTCAGGTCATCCATATCGATTTTCTATTGACTATTATCAGATTTATTTCCTCAGAATCCTTATTATCTATATCTCAGCATTTTTCTTACAAAATTTTACGAAATACAAAAATAACAGAAAACCAAGAAAGTTCATTCTAATTAACAAAAAAAAAAAAAACTAAAAGTCACAATTTAATCGTATTGACTATAAAATTTTATGGAAAATATTTCACGAGAAGATTCCGTTATATGGAACATCTGTTACGTCCAAGGATTATACGGATCTCGTGAACCGTAAGCGAAGAACGATGATCGTTGAAACCAAGGTCTACCGAATGAAAAGTCGGTTTCAAGGCGGTCTGATACTGTACGTGGAGAGTCGTGATGCCGCGGCGAAATTCCTGCTGAATGCCAGGTGAAATGTCAGTCGATGCACCCACGTGATTCGCGGCTAGTCGGTTGACCGTCTGTTCGCCGGTTACAATATTAAAAAGCTGTCGCGCCACTCTCGTGCCAACTCGTGCCCGATTACAAACCGCGTCCACGCAACATTTAACAGGAGAAAATCGGTTGTCGGTCAAATTATCGATACATTATATATCATACCGTTAAACGCCATAATCACCATTAGGAATCATCGCGCGCGCATCTCAAGTTGGCGAGTGTTTGGCTTATTATATATTTCGCGGACGAGCGTTGATTAGTCTTTGCTTTTCGTGCCGTAACGATTGCTCGACTTGTCTTTTTACTCTCGTAATGCGCATCTACTTGTGATTTTGGAGAATTATATCAGGTATGTTGTATTTTATTATTTTTTATTTTTTAATTTGGAAAAGCATAGAAAGTATTTTATCTTTTATGTCTTTTTAAATTTTTTTGTTTTGTGAATGTATGTATAGTGAAAGTATTTGTACGTTATTTTTATAACATTTTACAAGTTTCGATTAATTTAAGCAGCATGATATTTAGAATTAGTGCGAATTATTTCCAGATTATTCAAGATTTTCTAAAATTTATGTATTCTGTTTAAAGAATTTATGCAAGATATTGATTTGAAAAAATTGGATTTTGAATTGGAGGATATCTTTGTGTGTTTACTTTGATTGAAGACCTTGAACGACCTTGATTGTGTTATAGCACGAGACATTAAGTAAAAGACAATGAGAATTAAAAAAATAATGCGATCTATATACCGATTAAACTAAATTTCTTCCGTGAGAAATATGATTCTTAAATCTTTCTAGATTAATAATAATAATTAATTACCTTAATTAATTTTATTAATATATTACTGAACTAGAAGCTATCCATTTTTAAAATTAATTTATTTCTAAAAGATACAAAAATAATATTGAAAAATTTAAATTTTACAGATTCAAATAAAAAATTCCATGTAAAGTTTCGCCGTAAAATGATACGTGAAAAATTAAAAAATTCGGTTTTTATCGTTCCATTTTCTTGCGATTGCTGAAATAGAAACGCTTGATGGTAAACATTTCTCTCAAATTAAGGATGCGTGTTAAGCCATCAGCCACGATTCTTCGCGCGCCTTTCGAATCGTGAATCGCGATTTTTTCACATGTTCAACGTTTGTTACATTCCCAGATGGATAAAATGGATACCATGGACGAGTGGTTTTGCGATGAGGAATCTACACTCGGTTACGACGAGGCTTGCATCAATCTACGAACGGACGACGAGGATTCGAATGTCTGGCTCTACCTGCTCTCCGCGGATTGCGCGCTGGTGAGTCACGCAAGGACACGCTCTTTTTTATGCATTTCGTGCTTTGCATACTTGTGCGTTACTTTCTACGAATCTGAAGACTCGCAAGAAATTTTTATCCAAAAAGATTAACTCGAGAGAAATTTTAGAATTATGAATATTTTATTTGAACAGATTTTTGCAAGGAGTTTTGATGCAAAAAGAAAGTTCGAGAGAAATATTAGAATTTATATTAAATAGATGGCGGTTGTTCAACTTGAGAAGTGGAAAGTTAATTTATTAATGGCACTATGAATAATTTTAATTTTAAACAGCATTTCCACACGCGTATATAATGCAAATCTATTATTAATCCTTTTAATTAATTTATTTTTTCCTCTATTCCTCTCCGTAATTTTGAAATTAATTTTTCCAAAAATATTTATTTTCAAATATTTTTTTTTTTTTTACGTAAAATCATGATTTCATTGCAGTGTCCGTATATCAGAATCAAGCAGATCGTATCAAATTTATCTTCCAGCGTGATAGTCGATACAGTCAGATCCACGAGCCTCAGAATTTTGGATGCTGAGGATCCTAACGAATTTATATCCGCAAAAAATACCAGGTACATTTGTAAAACGTGCAGGTACAAAAGTGACACGATGTTAATGTTAATGCCACTCCGATGTTAACGATTTAAACCTTCTCGTGTTACAGCAACGTGATCTGCGAGCTAACACCGAACTTGGGACAGTTCGGCGTGTACGAATTGTCTGTAGAGAATCGAAGCTGCAACATAAAAACACTGAACGCGCCAACTTATCCTTACACAGGTAAAGATTCTATTATTAAAATTTTTTAATCGATCAATTTATTAAAAATAACTACTGTTTATTTTTTTTAATCTGTTTAGATTCGATTTTTCCAAAGATTTAAATCAGAAAAATTTTATTACACGAGATAACGTGTTTACCAAATGATAGCAGTTATTATCTTTTTCTTTCAATTAAACTTTTTAAATTAACTATTAATTACGATAATATATCAATTTAGATTACAGAAAAGACATGCTGTGCTCGATTGAATTCAGAAAGCAATTTTTTTTTTTTTCAGAACTTCTCGTCATTTTTGGAGTATTGATACTCGTTCTGTTTGGTCTTTGTGGCTTAAAATCGTTATGGAACGTGTGCAAGAAGAAATTTATGAAACGTCAATTGGATGAAACTGCGATGAAACAGCCCTCGAAACGTCGGGTGAAGGCGATCGACACGGTTCGAGGGTAGATCCTTTTGTACTCCTTTATATTGTTCTACGTAGGATAGTAAATTTTGAATTCATTGCAGGGCGAGCACGTTATTGATGATATTCGTGAACGATGGATCAGGTGGTTATAGGATCCTTGGTCATGCGACTTGGAATGGATTACTTCCGGGTGACTTGTTGTTTCCTTGCTTCATATGGATTATGGGCGTGTGCATCCCCATTGCCATGGCCAGCCAGATGAAACGCATGCTACCAAGACATGTGATATTGTATGGAATCGTGAAGGTGATTAGCAGAAGAATCAATAAAAGTTCAAAAAATTAACATGTGGAGAATAGAAATAACAAGAGTTTGGAAATTATATTTGAAGAAGTTGTAAGATTAAGAAGTAACTTTAGTTTATCTGTATGTTACAGAGAAGCATCCTTATGTTTTTAATCGGATTGTCTCTGAATACTGTGAGCACTG